CTGAAAGAATCTCTTCTTTGTTTTACCACAGCACCAACCTCACTGAAGATCAAAATATTGTGGGCAGTGCGGAATCACAATGAGAGTTAAGCACATTCATTTCCTGACACTCTTGTGGGACATGGTAGAGCAATAATAGTAAAGGAGAAAACTTTGTTTTTATTATCAGTTGTAGATGGACCTTTACTTAACTAATTTATATGTGGTGCTCTGAATCCAACCTAGTGCCTTACATATGCTCTGTGAACACTCTACCATTGAGCCACACACMCAGTCTCAAAACTTGGGGGTTTGAAATGAGTATTTCTAGTGGGACTTGGATGGTTGGCAGTATTCTTTACAGTGAAAAAGCCCAGGTCTCTCYTATCTGAGAAACCTAGCTTGAAACTTTGTAATTGCCTCAAGTGAGAAAGGTACCCTGCTAAAGGATACCTTGTCCCATATTAAGACATACASCTAATGGCCCTCCACACAGACTAAAATATCTTAATATGTTCCTGTGGATCAGGATCAACTCTTAATTAAAAGGCAGTAACCTGTAATACAAAATATTTGGAATTCCTCAAWTTATAATTTACAAAGGAGATCTATAGAAACCCATACAATACGGTAAAAGATAAAGCAGTAAAAGACACAGAGCATGGATTTAATATAAACTTCAACAGGAGGGGCTGGGGATGTGGCTCAAGCGGTAGCGCGCTCACCTGGCATGCGTGCAGCCCCGGGTTCGATCCTCAGCACCACAAACAAAGATGTTGTGTCCACTAAAAAATAAATATTAAAAATTAAAAAAAAGATTAAAAAAAATTCAACAGGAATTTGTAGCAATGTAATAAATAGCTCCAAAATATAGAAAACCAATTTTGAGAGACAAACGACATAGAAAATTCCAGAAGTCATTTGCAGGTATTAAGATACTTCTCTGGGTAYTGATAAAAATCAGATAAAAACATATGGGAAAATGTTTTGGTAATCTATTTGAATTAACCCTCCATTCCCTTCTTAATGGGCAATTCTGGTGGGAG